TATATGTATATATGGATGTGTGTGTAGTGGAAAAGTACATTTGGTGCCTTAACAAAAACTATATACATATAAGTACATTAATACTAATTATATGTATAATTATAATGAAAAAAAATGTTGAATTCTGTATTAAATAATGAATTATAGGTATATAATAATTATAAATAATTAAAGTAAATTTGGCGCCTCATAGGATTGCACCAAGGATTGCACCAAGAATCGGTATGCTATACCTTCGAATCCCACAGCGTGACACAGATTCTAGAACCATAAGTCAAAATACAACTATACTACAGTCCAACAAATCTATATTTTACATTATTTTTTATAAGGGCTGTCGTGATTTGAAATACTTTTCAGATAAAGGATAGTTGAATCCCCGCATTAAAAAAAAAAACAAAATAAAATAAAATATGTTATGTAAACTCTTATACAAAAAACGGAAATAATTGATACCCATGTGTACATAAATCATGTCATTTTTATCGTTTTATTGCACTTTGTGTTTCATATTATATTTTTTATTCAATATGTGAAGTAATCTGTAATTAAATCAATCATTTTTAATGTCTTTTTCGATAGAATGTAGGGGTTCGTTTTGCTCTGTTGATAATATGTACAGACAAACCAATAAAGCAGTACAACTAAACATTTCCCAGTTGTGATTGAATAAATGATTTTCTACTATTCCACTTGACAAACATTAAATACAGAATAGGACATAGATAAACAAAGAGGTTGTCTTAACACAAATATTAAATATTTACACGTTAATCTGGAAGACGTATAAAAGAAAAAATACTGGTAGCACTTTATAGAATAATTTAAATTGTGTATTACACACGATTCGGCAAGCACTATGCTTGCCATGCTTCGTCAGGTGCAGTAAAATGTCACAGAGAGACGAGATAAAATAATTATATACAGAATAACAAAAAGCTGTGCTATTGTCTAAAGGCAAGCAGACATACTATAAAAGTTGTATCGTATGGGGAAAAATAAAGCACATCTTCTTCGTATGAGGCTTGCCATTCCAAAAACCAGCGTGATGTCGCTAATTGTTCAACTGAGTAATTAGCATAGTTTAGACATTACACACATCTTAGACAAAGATACTTACGAGGTAAAACAAGCATGGAGTATTAACAATTCTAGGACTCATTGGTTGGTTTATCAAGAGAGGCTCTAGTCATTGTGTGTCATACATTGCAAAATAGGAAACCATTATTTAGACAAATGGAGATTTGAGTGAAGTTCAATTCAATCAAAAGCTTTTGTTGATAGCAAGGTCATTTTAACTAAATGCAATCTATCACTTTGTTGGACAAAAGGATAGCCAATATGCTACTTTTGAACCATTAAATTAAATATACTTAATTTCCATACAATTAACAAAAAAGATGCAGTATAATATACAGTAATTGAAATAAGGAGGCTAAAAAAGTTCTGCAAGAACAACTCACAGTCTTTTAACGTAGCCACCTTTTAAAAAAAAAAGTTCAAAAAATGACCGTTACCACTTAAGCTTTATCTAATCTATAGATACAAAGTAATTGTATACTTGCAAAAGTAAAATAACTCCAGTCAGAAACAGAACAACACACTTTGAAAAAACAAATACAAGGCCAAATTTTGGAAATTTAGCAAGGATCTGCTCAATGTTACTCTTTATTTTGAAGCCAAAAGTCCTACCTTCTGAAAATAGATCACTGCTGATGACTACTGTAAGAAAAACAATTATTCAACTGATACTCATATCTCATTATTATTAAGAATAAATTACTTTTGGATGCTTGATCTCCGGAAGCAACCCGAACAACTGTCTTTTAATATGGATCCAATCAAACCTGAAGATGTAAAAAATATCTTGAAAAGTAAAAATAAATCTGCAACTGGCCCGGACGCGAACTTTTTTCCTCGACGTCTCAGCCAAGTTGATCCGGAGCACCTGTATTTTTATGAACTGAAAGCAATATTAAACTTATTTACAAAAAAAAGGAGACACCGACACTCCAGTTAATTTTCGCATGATTGCTCTTACGTCACGTACTGGGAAGGTTTGTCATCATTTCTTGGCTCAAAGACTTGAAGAATACATCATCATCATCATCATCATCATCATCATCATTATCATTATCATATTATCATTATTATTATTATTATTATTATTATTATCATAATCATTATCATATTATCATATTAATTAATAAATAATAATAATAATAATAATAATAATAATAATAATAATAATAATAATAATAATAATTATTATTATTATTATTATTATTATTATTATTATTATTATTATTATTATTTATCATTATTATTAGCAGGGGCGCTGCAAGCTACGGCCATAATATATGCGCTGGTTCGAACGGCACACTCGCCTATGGTTCTGGTGGTAGAACAGGTCTTTTCGGATAAGGACTATAAAACGTAGGCAAAAGGTAAAAAATCTGCTTTCTACGCTAGAAATCCAATGCAGTTGCCTACTTTTAATCGAAAAGTGACAGGATAAAACATAAATCTATCTCGTTTCATTTCATCTCATTAGAAAGGTGAAAGATAGATTTTTTATTTTAAAAAAAAGGAGGAAATTTATCTGATCAGCAGTTCCAAAGTTATGGTAGAAAAGGCTGTAAAAAAGGGTGTTTCCAGGTTTTTTTAGAGCAGTTTTATCAATTTATGCCAGCGCGCTACTAAAGAGCGCGTACAAATTCATATGCAGTGAGCAGATGTCTCCAAGTTTTCATTACGTTATTATTATTATTATTATTATTATTATTATTATTATTATTATTAGGCCTATTATTATTATTACCATTCCCAGCAGGAAAATTCACTTATCAATCCTAATATTCAGAAATCTCTTTTTTCGCATGGCATTAATGGATAGGTTGATCATAACACGGTTTTTCATGAAATTCAGGCATGTCAAAACCAAATGCAAAACCGTCCACATCACCTGGTTTGATGCCTTTGGAAGCGTTCCTCTTTCCCTTCTTCATCACTCTCATTAAGAATCTCTACACAAACCTCTCTGGCAAGGTTAATACAAGAGATTGGCCCTTGAACCTTTCAAATTGTCTAAAGGCATCTTCCAGGGAAACCCAGTGTCACCTAATATATTTTTGTTCTGTTTCAACCACTCATTCATTCCATCCAATTTGAGGTCTCCTTTGGTTACGAGTTAACGGCACTAACATTATCACTACTCCGTTTGCAGATGACTTTTGCCTCATTTTAAGAAATATAGAACTCACCATAGACTAATAAACTGAATACCCTCTGGACAAAGCTTTCATTTTACACATGCCTTGGTGTTCACTGTGTAATTCATTAAGCACACGCATTTGTAGCTTCTGAGGATCAACACTCTTAACCCCCATAACAGTACGCCGCATTCTACTGATAATTCGTCTCTGCGTACTTTAAATGTTCACCTGTACTTCTAAATATAATAATATATCTGTAAGCTGACAGGATAACTGCCCATCGCTGTAGTCTAGCGGCTGCTAATGTCGGTACACCGGTCTTTGGTCGCAAAATTGTCAACAGAGGCTTATGGTCGGTAATGAGTGTAAATGTTCTCCCGTAAAGATATTTGTGGTATTTCGTTACACCAAATACGAGTGATAGTGCTTCTTTCTGAGGATGCGCATACTTCTTTTCGCTATCAGTTAGAGTTCGCGATGTGAATGCGATGGGACGCTCAGAGCCGTCTGGCATAATACGCGATAGTACGGCACCCAGACCGTATTGCGAAGCGTCACAGGCAAGTCTAAGCGGTTTATTCACATCATAATGCGTTAAAATTGTATCTGAATGTAGCTTATCTTTTGCTGCTTGAAACGCGTCGTTACACTCTTTAGTCCATTTAAACGGGGAATGTGCTCGCAATAGGTCATTCAGTGGATGAATCAAGGTCGCTAAATCAGGAATGAACTTCCCATAGTATTGAAGCATACCCAAAAATGAACGAAGTTCTTGAAAATTATATGGTTTTGGCGCTTCCTTAATGGCTCTCACTTTCTCAGGCGTTGGTGCTATGCCATTACCATAAATTTACATTTTGATTTCTTTAACCTCAGTCCATACGTCTCCAATCGGGACAGTACAGCTTCCAGGCGTTCCAAGTGCTGTTTTTCATCAATTACAGAGATTAAAATATCATCGAAATAACAAATCACGCCTTCTAGGCCCTGTGAGATTTGTTCCATAGCATTCTGGAATATGCTCGGAGCACTGGCTATCCGGTATGGTAGGCGTGTATAATGAAATAAACCCTTGTGGGTATTTATACTTAATAACTTCCTTGAGTCTTCATCTACGACCATTTGTTGGTATGCTTGACTTAAGTCTAAGGTTGTAAAATATTTTCCACCTGCCAATGTGGCAAATAGATCCTGTGGTGTAGGAAGGGGATATTTCTCTACACCCAAATACTGATTAATGGTCACCTTATAATCCCCACATATGCGCACAGAATTATCTGCTTTGGGTACAATTACACAAGGGGTTGCCCACTCTGCATGATTAACTGGTACCAATATACCTTGAGCAATCAACTCATCTAACTTAGCATCAATAGCTGGCTTTAATGCATCTGGAACTGGCCTTGGTCTGCAGAATTTTGGTTCCGCATTTCTTTTAACAGATAACTTTGCCTTATGATTTGTCATGGTGCCAAGACCATCCTTAAAAATGACTGAGTGCTTATCACATATTTCACTCAACCCTACTTGGTCACCCTGGCATCGAACCTTAAATATCGACAGCCAATCTAATCTAATTACCTCCATCCAATTTCGACCCAAAATTGGTGGCTGATTCAGTACATCTGCTACTACAATAAGCAATATGGCAGTTTGATTGTTATAACTTATCTTAGTTTCAAACACACCCATTACTGGTAATTTATCCCCTGAATATGTTCTCAAATGTTTCATCATACATATTCAATGGAATGTCAGCAAAGTGACTTGCATAGAATTGTTTTGGAATTATTGTTTTCGCAGAACCTGTATCTACTTCAAACATAACCATTTTCTCATTAACACTCATTGATATTCTCATGGTTTTAGAACCTGGGTTATGTAATGAAAACATACCCAACGAATCACTACCTGAATGAGCATGGGATTCTTCATCAACATAATATGATGGTTTACCTCCACTAGAATTTAGGCGGCATACAGCACTAAAATGCCCATTTTTACCGCAAAAATTACATTTGTAATTTTTATATCTAAATATCGAAGGTTCATGTCCACTCTTACCACACCTATGACAATTCCAAGTTTGTTTACTCTTCTTACATATCAGTTGTGCGTACGGCGGTGGCATCTTGTCATTTCGATTTGCCCATCCTCGTCCTTGTTTAGAGTATAGACAATGAACGACTATTACACGCAACATACAATCAAACCGTTTATTCAACACAATCGGTACATACGTTCTGTGCACGTTCAGCTACTCTCACATAGCGAGAACGTGTTCTGATAAATGTTGCCCTAATATACTACACCGATGCTGATGTATTTCATTACATGTGTGATCTTATTGGACAGGGTATCAACAAAATAAATGATTCTCTTATTATACCGGAATTCAAGTTGAAAGTTTATTCACAGTATTTCCTGCCGAATTTACGATTCAATTTTTACAGTGAATGATATCACATTTACCCAGCTTGAAAACGTGATGCCCTGTCCAATAGGTTCGTCAAATTCTGGTTTGACATGCCTAGATGTGCTACTATGGCTTTTGTTCACATGCCCAAGGGATTGGACATTCCTAACATTTCTAAACTTTACACAGAATGCCATCTCACTGCCAATCTCTCTTCCAGAATTAAGTTTGGTGCGGTAGTAAATCTGTGCCTTGATCTGAGGGTCAAAAGAGAAGGGAACTGGAAGAAGATCTCTCTTGTCAACCGATTTGAAAACTAAAAATTCCTTGGCTGAACATCATAATTTACCCCTCCACAAAGGCAAAAGCCAAGGTAAGAAATACCCTGAAGGCAGAGGTTCATAAATGTTTGGATAACCACGTAAATACTCTCTTGGTCCAGGGACGGTTTTATGAACTTGCGTTTCCTGAAGACCAATGCACCCATTGGCAATCTATCTGTTACAATCTGCCATTTTGGCATTCTTAAATTTCTCTTCAATACTCAGGTGAACCTCGCCGGGTGGGGAAATTGGATTTCAAATAACTGCCCTTGCTGAGAAGACCCTTCACTTGACCAAGGGAGATATACTTGGCGCAACAATAATGTTTTTTTTACGCCCCTGACGGTTGCGACATCATTTCCGGTGCCTCGAATGTCCCTCATCCATCAACGGTCCCCATGGAATGCACCACTACCAACCTCATCCCTGACATATGATTATACTTTCTTAAATCCAAATCATTGACACTTATCGAACTCTCTGCCTCATTTGATACGGGCATCGCTAAGGCCAGTGATTTCCGCTGATTAACCACATTCGAGACTTTGGACACACTGCTATTCTGCTTGCCATTGAAATCGGTTCACGGGAGGTCATCTCCCATGAAAATAAAAATCGGATGAAAAGAATTCACTTTCTCTGCAATTGGCCGCTACCATTTAAGGATATCAAACAATCTCCAAACTTGCAATAATCACTTCTTTCAGCATTTTCTACCACAAAGATGAACCCACTTGGACCGATCCTCCCTTACTTAACATTTAAATTTACAGATTTTTTGGCTTAATATTGTAGTGCCAGCAGGAATACCTTCCTAGAGGCTAAATGTGCAATTTATTGGTGACGTCTGTGTCTGTTCTCTCGTGTTCTGTGTTTTCCTGTCTGTTTTCTTTTTGTCATTGTTTGGGCTTTGCACCTCTCTTGCGTGTATTATTGTTTTTTAAATAGATATTCCACATGTCTAGGGAGTATTTATATGTTTCCTTTTACTTTTTAGAAAATCTCAATTTATGCATATTTTATATTTTATTTATTGTATATATTTTTAATATTTGAAATAAAAGTGATCTTGAATAATTCAGATGTTATTTAAAACTAATCAATGTATGCTTATTTTTCAAGACATCAGAAATATTGGTCCCAAAAGAGAACAGAAAACGCCTAGTATCTGATGTGGACGGAGTACTAGAAGTAAAAGTGTTAGTAGAGTATCTTGTATTTTGTATTATATTGATGATGTTTGGATGTATAATGATTCCTGGTGTGGGATGGTATAGCATTAAACAATAAGCGATAAATAAAAAACAGCAATTTAAATTGTTATTTAAATCATATATATTTAAAACATTAAAATGGTAAACATATGTTTAGTTTGTGCTCTGTAATAATCACCTGAGTATATCTGAAGGGCTCATTATTAAAGACGGAATATTAATCAATGTTTGTCTATTAGCTGGTTCAGGGACATACTATTTCGAAGTAATACCCCATGCAATATTGCAATACGAAATATAAGGTAATATTAAAGTATTATATAAGGTCAATAGAATTTCAGATGGAAAATAATGTTTAAGCTTGTTTAGCATACCAATATTGCATGCAATTATGTTGGATACCTAGATAACATGCGGTTTCCAAGATAGTATGTAGTCAATAATTAAACCTAAGGTTTTAGTTTAATTTACACGAATTATTATGATGTTATCAATAAATAAATCGTCCTTAATTTTGATATAATTTTGTTGATTGAAAATAATGCAATTACTTTAATGAACTTGGTGAGAGAAAGAGTAAACAACACCTCTGACAGTGGTAAACCGATTACGATTGGTAAGGTAGCTTTTTATAAGTTAAAGTGGAATGCCTCTAATACCGTACTTTTTAAGTTTATGTGAAAAAATAGCAACACTAATGTAAAATGAAAAGCATAATCACGATCACTCATTATTTCTTCATACAGGTTATGTATAATGGTGATGTAATCACTATGTTTTGGAAACCAATAAAGTATGCATACTGGTTTTATTTAAGGAAATTGTTCAAATGTGTAAGATATAAACTCACTTTATAGAAGAGCTTTGCTTGTTTAGTTTTATATACATACATAAGCACAAGAACATAGATATCAAAAAGGTATTATTCCTATGTTATTTTCCCTTTTAACAATTTTTTTTAAATATAAAAGAGATTTCTTTAAATATCAGTCACTTCTGGAGAACACAATCTATGGAGCACGTCTCTCTATGACGTAAAGCTGGGATTATTGGTTTAACAAATGATATCTGTGGGCAGGGATTGGTTGCAAAGACTCCGGGATGTGAAGGCATTAAAACGCTGTTGAGAAACAGATATGGCGTCACAAAGGGTTTTGCATCCACAGACAGATTAAATTTCCACTGCTTCCAGGAAGAGTATGTGTGGGTAAATGGTCGGTTATCTATTAAAGGCTGGTTCACTTCTTTATTACTTAATAAAAAGATGTTTGAACTTTTATGAAATATGATTTTATCCATCTTCCTCCACTTGGCACGTCGGTTTTGAAACCACACCTGCAAAATTTAAATATAGGTCAAAGGATCATTGCAATTATTATAAATAATTATAAACAAAGGGAGAACACATAAAATAATAAACTGTTTGAACTTTTATGAAATATGTAAATTCATACTGATAAAAGATATACATTTTAAGGTGTAACTGAACCCGTCCATGTTAGTGACTATTTTTCTTTGTGTCACGGCATAGATATATGTGCTAGAAAGAATGGAAATCTACGACGAACGATAGACCTCCAGTCATTAAATGAACATACAACACGCCATACTCATCATACCCAGTCGCGATTCCACCAAGCTAGCATATTGCTAACAAGAATAAAACAGTAACATAGAATAAAACAGTATCTGATGTCTGGAATATCACATGTCAGTAATACGAGAACTCACGATATAAATATCCAATAAAATATGAGAAATCGTATGGCATTGAACAAAAACACACGTAAATGAACATTTGGTAACGGACAAAAATCAAAACGTTAAACAACTACTATAATTATTTAATTAACAAGGGCTCTTTCCAGATAATATGTTCCCGAAAAATGTATTACCAACGAAAAATCAGAAACATGCTTCATATACAATGTAATAATCGGCTTCAAAATTAACTATTTTGTTCTAATTCACTTACACATATTTATTTATGCCTTTCTTCTTCACCGTTTAATTCCCTTGACTTACATGATCAATATCTGCCCTTATTTCCTTATTTATTTCTACCTCCACAAAGAGTTGTTTTCACCGCTGTCATCATGTTATTATGTGTCATTGATGCATTTTAAGGGTAATAGTAACAGTAATGTTATTTGAAAGTTGCAGTCTTCGTATATATTTAAATAAGTTGTTTGCTTTCAATTAATACAAATAGAAAAGAGGAGGAAAAAGAAGAGTAGAAGGTCAAAAAAGAAAGAAATTATTGTTTTTATTTTGTTTACAAATCACTAGGTATTTGAAATAGGTATGGGAAAATATAATATACACTGCTTCATTTTTACTGCATATAAAGGACATTTACACAGGTAAAAACAATGTTGCAGTTACTTTTAAAAATACATAGTAAAACATTCCTAATGTTATCAAATAAACTCTTTGCTAAAAAAATAATTTTAGATTGACATTAGATTTGCTCTAACGTAGCTATGGATTACAACGCGCTCTCACTAAATTTGAAATCTAATCACTTTTAATTAATAACAACAGAAACATGGAATACATTTCGTATATGCAGGTCAGAGAAGTCTACATAAAAGAACACAAACCTCACTTTGTTGCATCGAATAAATAATTTAGTTTATGTATTTGGATAAATAACTACCAAGTTAACCTAATTATTAGTATACACTGGATTAAGTTTTGCAGCAATCTTGGAGCAAGATTAGATAATATGTCGATGATGAATGCTCCTGCCAACTTCAAGCGTCCGAATGCCTGGCTAGTACAGTAGTAAGTTACATTCCTTGGTGGTCTAGCGTCTCCTATTTTCAAGAAATTGGAGTGGTCAATGACTAAGAATATGTCAATGAAATTATGCATATCATAATAATTAATTACTGTATAACTGATGAGGAACTGAAGCTTCTTGACAGGCAAGTATTGACATTCTTCATAAACAAAACTATGGAGAGACGAAACCGTCCTAGATGACTAGGGAGAGCCATTAAAACACTCACATAAGAAAAAGACAATCTGGATTGTTGAATCTACCGGGGTGCTTAACCACTTGGGTAAAGTGTTTATACTTACACTGCAACGTCGGATTCTGAAGAAAACAGAGGATATTCTATGGGAGGAAATGGCCAGATTTAGAGCAGGGAGATCTACAGTCGACCAGATTTTAACACTACGCCACATAGCAGAAAATACTTAGAAAACCAGAATACTCTCTACTGTTTTGACTCTGTGTGGCAAGAAGGACTGTTGAAAGCAATGCAGTTCTTTGGATACCCAGATAAAATAATATGACTATTTCAATTCCTTATACGAGCAGTCATGTGTGCAGTGTAACTAAAGGTCAATCTGTCTGATTGGGTTGTAAGCACTGTAGTAGTAAGATACGTGATATTGCCCCATTCAACATCTTCATGATCCACTTTACAAATAAACAGGACAAAATAATCAACAACCCTCTATACTAATGACCGAATGCGAAAAATATGTACAAACACTAGTTGATTGAATGAAGAATGTAGCTTGAATTTTGGTCTGAAGATAAACATTGCCAAAAAAGATCTTGCTATCAGCAAGCAGAGAATTGACCTTCATATCACAGCTGGTAGAAGGTCAGAAGTTACCTGGGGGGCACAATCTCACAAGAATCATGTACACCAGATATAAAAACCAAAAATAGGAAATCTGGTAATTAAAAGAATTTAACAGATAACATAAGTAGAGCTGTAGTACAATTATTCTCTCCATCTTATTGTCGGTGCAAAGAAACTCAAAAGGAAAGAAAATCGATTACTTACATTTGAAATTACCTGCCTGCAAAACCTACAAGAAGGAGTCACTCGTCTTGACAGAATAAGAAACACAGCACTGGGTATAAAATAAGCCATCTCAGAACTAATCACCAAAAGAAAACTACGCTACTTTGACCATGTAAAAAAGAAGGAAACAATCAAAATTCAGGTATAAATTTGAGGGGTCATTTAAAGTGTTCCAGACCTGAATATCTAACAAACAGATTAATGGATCTGAATGACATATGCAAAATGGTTTGTCATGGTCCAACATGAAAATCAAGCTTTCTTAATCGCAAAATAGCAGCCGTCTTAAGCAGCTCACTGCGTGAACAAATGCTCGTACTCAATAACCTATATTAGTCTTAAAATGCTGCCTGTCATATTTAATGAGAAATAAATTAGGTAGCGTATAATTAATTAGCTGGTGTGTACCATATAAAAATAGATCTATCTATAAGAAGAATCCTGAGAACAACAACTAAATTGCCACAATCAATGCCAAGGCCAGCTAAAAGTTCTTAGCTGTGGGTTTTAATGAAGATAGTTCTTTAAAAATGTATTATAATATTCGTACCTGAACACGATATTCGCTTACACCGAAATTTAGCGCAAGTGCTTCGCGTATCGCTTTGTCTGGATACCAAGTTTTTTCGAACGTCTTTTTGAGTTGAACAAGCTGGTACGTGGTAAACCTTCTGCGTGAACGTCGAATATTGCTTAATTTTGGAGGTGAATTTCTGTCGATGTGTTCATGCTCGATATCACGGCCTACAATAATATATGGAGCGTAAAAAGACAAGTGAAAGAATTCGCTATAATGTATATACACATACATATACGCACATACATACACACACACACACACACACACATATANNNAGAAGCACTAGTTTCTATAGAATTCTATAACATACCTGTCTCTTATACACATCTAGATGTGTATAAGAGACAGTATATATATATTTTATCATCCTCATTGCTAATATTATTATTATATTATCATTATTAGAAACAATGAAGATAGAAGTAATTCTTTAGGTAATTTCAATGAAACAGGCAGGATAATGACAATTATAGTAAATGTGATGACGATGTGTAATTATAGTAAATTTTTTAAACTTGTACAGTTATTGTTGTTCCTTACAACAAATTATTCGAAACAATTTTAAATAAAAATAATATAAATCTAAAGTATAACATAATATCAAAAAGTATATATAACTTGTATTACCTGTTTTTTCTTGGTTTTCTTGACAACCCAGTAGTGTTTCTTTCTTAATATATTCTGGTTGACAATCGACACGAATTAGAGGTGGTGGTGGTGGTAACGGCAGGATTTTGATCTGCGGTTTTTTTTTAGATCCTAGTATAGATTCAATAGAGTAGGAAAGAGGAACCTTGGTTGATAAGCATATATCAGATATATCTTTAGCCTCGTAACCAACGTTTGACATGTTGCTTTTGGTATACCGTATAAATCTTGAAGATTTCGTCAAGTGTTAGTTTAAGTGATGCAACTTAACTAACATCAGAGTATATTAAACTGAATGGTGCCTGCTCAATTCTCAACTATAGCAAATTACAAATGGCCAATCACAGAGAAGGCGTTGTTTGCACACAAGTAGCAAAAAACACACTACTGCACAACTATATAATATAATAATATAATAAAATCGGTTTATGAGATGAATTTACACGTCACCACATTGCACTTTAAAATAGCTAGCAGCATAACGTAGGTGTATGGAACTGAACATAAAATTTTCTTTTACATAATTCATTTTTTTTGTAATTAGAAATATGAATCTATATTTTCATACAGACATTTAGATATAGTAACTTTAAATGTTTTATTCGTTTTGTATTAATTTGTAATATAACCGAACAACGTCACTTGTATTATACTCCTGGACATGCATGTATGATTTTTAAAACCGGACATAACATTTCGGAGACAATTTTTTAAAACAAGTGTAACTGAAAAATGGAACTGTCTTCCTGACCATGTAATGATAGGTAGTCAACAGTACATCATTAAATCATTGCAAAGCAAAAGTATGACCGACACATTAACAACTTGAGAGGAGGCCATCTTCATAAAACTCACTGCTTTCTGTAACAAATAAGGTAAGAATTAGTAAATAACAAACTTCAATGAAAAACCAATAGCGGTCGTTTCATAAATGTTGTTTATAAATAACATTTTAAAGGTAAATTATCAAACGGGAAACACTAAATAGATCTGAATGCATTTAATTTTTATAAACTTTTTATTGTACATTTATTGAGTTTGTATGTATTTTAAGATGTTATATAACTGCATGAAATTGTGTGCATAATATATTCATGAATTTATATGGCGTGTTATATTGTAATGTACCAGGAAATGAGATAGTTTGCATGATATTATGCATCCTGTAACCACTAAGGTAAGAATTGGTCAATAACAAGCTTCTATGAAAAAGCAATACAGGTCGTATAATAAATGTTGTTTATAAGTAAAATTCTAAAGGTAAGGTCCTTCAGTGTTGAGAATGTGCGAAGGTATAAAAGAGCACATTAGGTACGAGAATTTGAAGTTGGTTATGTAGAAAAAAAAATTAGCGGAATACACAAAAATGGCCTGTATCTCCAAGAGTTGCATTGCGCAGTGTTGGGACAATCCTTGTTTATTACTGAAGCTTTCCTATTCATTTTAGGCAGCCAAACATTGTAATTATTATTATCAGGCCAAAATAAAAATAATAAAAATTTGTTGTGACATCGCTTTGATGGCGTGTCCATTTGAGATTGACACGGTTTGTGATTCATGCCACTACGTCACGCTGTCCACTTTTAAAAGCTGCTTACGCTCTGATTGTGTTCGCGTGTTTTCCTTTAGCCTATTCATATGCTCGGCTATCACACTACATGTTTGTCACAAATTGTACGCTTCAAGTATGTTCTACTGGAGTGTATTACAATAATCATGGTTAACTCTTCCCCCAAACTGTGGCCGTGTCCAAAAAAAGAGAAGATGGTCGTGCAAGATAAACACACGACCATCTTCAAAAAATTCAACCTTACTACTACACCTGTTGAATGAACTCCAATGCCTTCCACTCACATTCAGTAGTAAATGCCGATAATTGTCGCTGATTTTACCATGTATTGTAACAACTCCGATACGCCATGCTCTTCTATGTATTGTCACACGTCACCTCACTTTATTTTCACCGATTCTGGGTATAATTATTATTATATTGTTATTGTACCTGAATGAGATCTTTTGCATTATTTACTGATTGACAGTATACCAAAGTACTATTTACCTTGATTAATATGTTTTTGCACAAATAAGAAAGAAGTAAAATTAAGAACTTTACTTCAGACCAATGGAAACATGTTAGACAAAACCACGCCCTCTACCAGATTGTCATTATGCTATTATCTACTTGTGCCGGGCCAGGTGTATACCACACAATGGCGGCTCTGGATATATTCTACCATATCAGCAGCTCTGCTACTTCAGGGCCAACATGAGAGGGCGCACTAGTCGCTGTGAAGCATAACGTTACTAGAACCCGTGAAGTCCAGACGTGTGTGTGTGTGTGTGTTGTTCGTTCAAGATTTTTGGTAAATAGGTTTTACCTTATTAGTTTACCTTTAGGGTATTATTAGAATTGTAGGTCTATATTAATGTTTAGTTTGAGGATTTTTCAGTCACTGTGACCCAGGTTTGGGCACGTTTCGCTGTAGGCCTACTTATGGAAGTGACTAGTGTATTTTGCTCCAGGTGTGTACTATCGGTCGCGCTTGAGAGAGGGAAAGAAAGCTGTTTGTTTCCCTACTGCACAAATTCAAGAAGGAATTATGTCAGCTTCTTGACTATTTACTTGGTAGTAAAGTGCACATAATGATTAACTACCATTAATTTCTTAAAACGTGCTCGGAGAGCAAGCTGTTTGTCTCCGTAATATAGCCCTAATATAACAATAGGATCTGACGTAACATTTTTGTGGCGTCATGAGCATACAGGGGCCTATCTAGCTACAAATATGTATGGCATGTGGGCTTTAGTGGATTGGTTACGGGTATGATTTGAGGAGCCGTGTTGAGCCACAGACGTTATGGTTTGGTATAGTCCATAGTGGTTAGGTATCGATAGTATATCATTTTTTTTAAATTATATTCCTTTTTTCCAGACTGTTATTATGATGACTGAGCCAAACGAGACACCGTTAAGTAGTTCTGCTACACTCAAGGACGAGTTAGTTAGTTCTATGTCAAGCATGGTGACGGACATGAAAAATGATATTATGCGCAATGTTAAAGACCTCCTCTATGCGAGAGAAGAGATCAGGAGTGACGATGACGATCACACAGACCTGGAAGATGAGTTTCCAGCCGCTCAGGCAGTGCAAAATATCGATGATTATGCAAAGGAACGAGACCAAATTCCTGAGGTAGACCAACACAGGGGGTTTTCAGACTTGGCTGCTGAGTTCAGTACTGCTGACCCTACAGGACCGGCTGTCGACGTTAAACTGGCTGCTATTGTCTCTGACCTCATTGGCGGTAAACTACCTAAGGAAAAGTTGGCCGAGCTTGTGACTAAATACCCAAGGCCTCAGAATTGTGAGAGTTTGGTGACGCCAAGGATAAATCTACCAATCTGGGGACAGATGAAGCCGGGATCCAAGGCGGTGGATGTTGGTTTGCAAAAAGCACAGACCCTATCTATGAGCTCCATGTATGCTTTACTACGAGCATGCCAAGAGTCGTCGGGAGAGATGAGGACCACACTTGCTCATTCACTTGTACTTTCGTTGGCGGCTAATCGTGAGTTGAATTTAAAACGACGCGAAATGCTCAAACCAGATCTGAATACACGGTTTGCAGCATTATGTGGACCATCGACTCCAATCACGAAAGATCTCTTCGGGGACGACATTTCTAAGCAAATCGACGACTTATCTAAGGCCAATAGAGTAGGCGAAAGAGTAGCAACGAGCAGGAGAGCACGTGTCAGGGGATACCAGCCATATTCAGGAGCTAGGCGTTATGGAAGTCGACAAGGTTCGCAGTTCAAGTCGAACTATCGAGGTTTTTTAGGCGGACGAGGCTCCCAACTACGAACCACTCAGGGGCGGTCAGCTGCGCCGCAAGTGAAGAGGAGCCGAGACTAGGAAAAGAGGTTGGTTATATGGGTAAGATTGGCTTGTTAGTTAGTAATCAGACACCTTTTGTAGCTGGTCAATTGAGATTTTGCCTAGATCGATGGAATAATATTACCTCTGACTCATTTATTTTGTCATGCATTCGCTATTGTACAATCGAGTTTGATTCTATGCCTTTTCAAATGGGTTATAATCTTCATCCCGAAGCTAAATTTTCCCCCACTGAGCAGCAATTGATGCTGAGATCGCTAATTTCCTAGCCAAACAGATTGTTGAGCGCTCCAGTCCGGAGTATGGTGAATTTATTTCCCCTATTTTTCTCCGCCCAAAAAAGGAACCGGGCAAGTACCGGATGATAGATGTGTATAAGAGACAGACCTATGCGTGTATCAAGCTCAGCATCTAATGAGTTTGTGTCAGTGATACTCTGGAGGCTGCGATTAAGTTAATGAGCCCCTCCTGTTTTATGACGTCCATTGATCTGCGAGACGCGTATTACTCGGTACCAATTTCGGCGAGTCATAGGAAGTTCCTTAAATTTATTTGGCGAGGCCTACTTTACCAGTTTACTGCACTACCCATGGGAATTTCGAGTAGTCCGCGTATCTTCACCAAAATTTTGAAACCGGTGTTTGCTACGTTACGAAGTAAATACGGGCACTCTTGCCTTGGGTATATCGATGACTCTTTTTATACTGAGACCACCGCTGTTCGGTGTGAAGAAGCCACATTTCGCGCAGCTACCTTGTTTTCTCAGTTAGGTTTTATGGTTCATTCTACTAAATCGGTGTTTGAACCTACGCAGAGGTTAGAGTTTTTGGGGTTCCGGTTAGACTCCGTCTCAATGACTGTTTCGGTGACGAAAGATAAAGCCGACAGGATTGTCGTTTTGTGCAATAAGGTCCTCGCTGGTAGCAGTTTCCCCATTCGAGACACAGTGTCTTTTGTCGGCACTCTTGTGGCAACTTTTCCCGGGGTTGAATATGGACCGCTGTTTTATAGATGCCTTTCTCGGGATAAGGACGCTGCTTTAAGGAATAGCGCAGGGAATTTTGACAGTTCCATGTCATTATCAGCAGAGAGTAGAATTGAGATTGAATGGTGGAGGAGGTCCTTACCGCTAGCTGTTAGAAAAATTGATCATGGGCCAGCTCAACGTATAGTTTACACTGATGCTTCCCTTATTGGCTGGGGTGCAAAATCTAATGATTCAGATACCCAAGGTTTATGGTCCAAAGAAGAAGCTTTGTATCATATTAATGTGGTGGAAATGTTAGCTGTTAAGTTTGCCCTCAAATCCTTGTTTAGCCAGGTTCACGATGTCCATATTAGAATCATGTCTGATAGCACTACAGTAGTTTCGTATATCAACAGCATGGGAGGTTTCAGGTCCCCGTCGTGTGACTCGGTCGCTAAAAGTGTTTGGCTCTGGGCTATTGATAGACACATTTGTCTTTCGGCTGCACACATGCCTGGTGTCGAAAATGCTGAGGCTGACCGTTTATCTAGAATTTTTAAAACCGAGTTAGAATGGCTGCTAAACCCGCGCATTTTTCAAAAAGTCGTACATTTTTTTCGGGCTGCCAGACATTGATTTGTTTGCGAGCAGACTGAACAAACAGGTTTCGCTTTATGCATCATGGAAACCAGACCCGCAAGCTTCTATTATCGATGCATTTGGCGCCGATTGGTCAAATTTTTCTAATTTTTATGCATTTCCTCCTTTTTGTCTCGTTGCTAGGTGTCTGCAGAAGGTCATGATGGAGCAGGCAACAGGAATTATAGTGGTCCCCAAGTGGAACACTCAAGTTTGGTTTACAAGGTTACTGAGTCTTCTAGTCGAACCGCCACGGTGGGTACGAGTAACCAAGGATGTGTTAATTCAACATCAGACCCGTCATCCACTGTGCCCAAAACTCAGACTAATGGTATGCAAAATATCAGGCAGACCATCGCTAAGCATGGCATTCAGACAGACATTACAGACATCATCATGTGCTCCTGGCGACGGGGGACCCAAAAACAATACAATTCCTACATCAAGAAATGGCATACGTTTTGTTTACGAAAGGAAACTGATTTGGTGCGACCCCATGTATATTTTAAAGTTTTTACACAGCCTTTTCAGAGAAGGTATGTCATATTCAACGATTAATACAGCCAGATCGGCGTTGTCTAATTACTTAGCAGATTTTTCTATGGAATCACGATGCCAGTTGACAAAGCACCCTTTGGTATTACGGTACATGAAAGGAGTTTTCATTTGTAGACGACCTGTGCCCAGGTATTCTGAAACATGGGATGTCGATATAGTTCTAGAATTCATCGCAGGCATGCAACCGCATGATGCACTAACGCTTAAGGAACTTTCGATGAAGTTGGTTACACTAATGGCTTTAACATCCGGACAAAGATGTCAAACATTAGTCGGTTGCGATACAAAGTTTATGGAAAAAACAGAGGAATATTTTTTGTTTACCTTGACCGAAAATATTAAGCAGGATAGACCTGGCAAAGTAACAGCCTCGGTTATGTTTAAGAAATATCATAAAGAAGAATTATGTGTTTACGCTACCCTGGAAAGTTACTTGGAGCGTACACGACTATTGAGAAATGAATTTAGTTCAAAGCTGTTACTTTCTTATGTCAAACCATTTAAGCCTATTGGAGCTAGTACTGTAGGCAGGTGGATAAAATTACAACTCGGACTTGCTGGTATAGACACTACCAAGTTTACTGCTCATAGCACACGGGCAGCACTGTCTCTTATACACATCTAGATGTGTATCAAATCGGTACCGATTGATATTAGACTTAAGTTTATCAGATAGTGGAGTTTACAAATGTTTTTATTCAAGTGGGAAAATAATCAAGGAGTCTAGATCGATAGAATTGGTTGTGTTGCCAAGACGCTCCAATCCCATATGTACATTCCCATAAGTTATTTTGCGAAACAAAGTTGACTACCTCCATGGTTGTAGTATATTTGTGTTGACCGTTTAATATTTCCTTAAGCAACAGCAGAAGACATCGTTATGTGCCTGGTGTCGCAGCCCTTATGCTTTCCAATTTTACAAAACAAACATTAAAAAAGTAATTTATAAACGTTTTGTAGAATGAAGTTTAGAAGAAGATTAAGCAAATTCTTGTCCATGAGCTTCTGTATGCGGATGATGCTGCTATTGTTGCCCACTCCAAATCTGAACTACAAGAATCCTGCAGGTCCTTTTCAAAGGCCTGTTCAGATTATGGAACGATGATTAACGTTGTTAAAATTAAAAATTAAACGAGCCTTACCTGTAAGGTGAAGTTTGATAGCGATTCTACCAGATCAGCAGCGGCACTTCAGGGTTAACATGCCCTCCCGGTTTTATTTGTGGCCCACCCTTTGTTTGGATGCGCTGTTTTCATGCACACAAGGATTTAATGTCTGCTTCACGGCGACTAGTGCGCCCTCTCATGTTAACCCTTATCTTAAGGCTCGTTTAATTTTTAAATTTATTAATTTATGAGGGGGGGCTAAGATGTCCGACTGGGGGGGGGCGCTAAGTATTTATGGATGTAACTATAGTGCGCAGCGTTGTCTGAGGGCCGAAGCCCCGAGCCGGGGGTGGGTATGGGAGAGGGGTGTCCCCCTTCCCAAAACAAGATTTTTTTTTTAATTTGGGACTTTTAGATGGCCGGAAATGGCTGGGATGGGAAAACAGTGGCTTAAGAACCACCCCCCCCCCAAACCGATGGGGGAGGGGTGGGCCTTAAGCCACTGGCGCCGCCACTGATACCACACCTATGTACATTTCATCCTTGTACATTGTGTATACTCTTTTGAATGTTATTTGGTATTTATATAGCGCCTATTTCTTTTGGCTACGTGTTTCCTGATCACTGGGTCCATATTGCTGCTGCCTTAGCGCAGTAGCGGGCAAATCCACCGTAACAATTAATTGTCTTGCTTGTCAGATAAAGGGTCTTGCTAAAGGACGCACTAAAAGTTGCGCAGCAAGAAGGCAAATCCCCGACCTCGAGGTTGGGAAACCAAACGGCTTATTATATACTTATTCAGCTTATCAGTTTATTGTCATTTTGTGGTGCTGTCGTGAAGACTGGTGAGACGCATCCTAAATGTCTAATGTCTAAATTCCACCTTAGTAAAGTAGCATACACTAATAAAACTGGTTGGAACATCCTTTAACATAAATAAGGGATGTGATATTAGGCGCTTTGTATGTAATCTATTTGCTACCCGTTAAATTAAAAGTACTTATTATGCCAGAATCGGATTCAGCCCGTGTTCTCATGTCTAGGCCTGGGAAGATAGGGCTTGCTACCAGCCAGCAATAACAATCTGTCAGGGGTAGTTGCTAGATGAAACGCCCCGAGTCAGCAGAGCAATCATGCCAACAATTGACAGGCATTACTGGTTCAAAAATTAAATGACTTATCAAATGGTCAAAATGAAACTCTGCAGAACATTCAGAATATTAATGAGAACATTATGGGTCTTAACTTATTTAAATGTAACGCTTCATTAACAGATATTAATAAATACTGTCAGAAAAAGATTTACCAAATGACAACTTTCTACGCCAATTTAACCCGAACATGGTTTAATTCTAATAAATGCGTTAGCAAAGAACAAGTAATCAATCCAATTAACGAAACCATTTGGAACAATAAACACATAATGTATAATGGAAAAACTTTGTTCGATACTGGATTTATTAAAGCAGGAATTATAAAACTTCGAGATATTTGTAACTCTGACCGAACACTACGGTCTCCACAAAAAGTAATAGAATGTGTTAAAAAAAAAACCGAAGACGGTAATTATGCTGTACTCTATTCACAATAGCGTCCCCAATGTTTGGAAGGGTACCTTTAATTGGGATGTTAACTTTGACTCCCAAAAATATTTTAACAAAACTTTAGTCGATAAGTGCTCATTTAGAGAACATTTGGATACACAGATGGTCTCCACTCCAATATGACAGAAATACTGGGAATCACTTTTTAATAATATTAAATTGAACTGGAAATACATATGGAAAAGGGTACCAAATTGCTCGAAAGAGGCATGATTAATAACACTTTCATGGAAAATCATTCATAATATATACCCAACTAATAAATATTTACATAAAACTGGGAAATCACATAATAATTATTGTGATATATGCAATACTATTGATGATACTGAACATTTATTCTTCAATTGTATAGAGGTCAATACCTTATGGATATTTGAACATGTCATATATAAGTTGCTGTGTATTAAAATTAATATTAAGAGTGATATAGCATTGTTTGTGTTTTTAAAATGACAAAAAAAAAAAAAAATAATCGGAAAAAACTTTAAGTCATTTAATTGTAATATCAAAACTATATATCAGCAAATTCACGTACGGGAACTATTCTAATCTAATCAATTTATACTTTCGTAGATATTCAGTTCACATTACTCAATGATGAGGTCATCAGATAATATGATCATTCAGTGTACGCAATGGTGGTGACGAAATACAATTCTATGATATCTACACAGTGTAAAACTTCGACTGTATCATTGATGGAGTTTATTTAAATATACTTAATCATTAATGACAGTAGTTGGAATTGATAATGATAAAAAAAAATTGCTGTTATTATTATTATTATTATTATTATTATTATTATGATTATTATTATTATTATTATTATTATTATTATTATTATTATTATTATTGTGATATGTTCCATTTAGTATAAACATAATTATATCAACATCATAATATGTGAATGTTGGTAAAAAATATTCAGTGTTTTTCAAATGTGTATTATAATAAGTACAAAAAAAAGGAGGAGGGCAAACAAACATTGTTTTTGGCCTAATATGATATTCGGTCAAAATCATTAAGTTTTTTGTTATGTATATAGTTGAAATGTACTTGGCTCCAATGTGTTTGATGGATTAAGCTGTCTAGGTAGTGATGATAATACGAATGATGATGATAATGATAATGGTAATTATTGCTATCATTTTAATTTTGTGATATGTGCCATACACTGTAAAGATATTCATATCAATATGCTATTCGGCCACGTTTTGTTATGTATACATTGGTAATATGAGATGTGTACGTACTTCTGTGTGTATTGTGAATTAAAATTCTTGGCAATATGGTAATGATATTAAGAATAAGTAAAAACAAAAAAATTATAAAAAGTATTTTTATTTATTTATTTATTAATTCGGAACATACAATTTTAAATCAGTGGCACTCTTCCAAAGGGAGGTGCGTCCAAGAAAATAAAACAAAATATACAAAACCACTAAAACAAAACACAACTTAACTAAGAGCAACAAGAATTAAAAATAAACCCCACCCATTTACCCCTTACTTAACTCCCCACCCCAAAGCAACCAATGAGAAATTAACCCATTTTCATTTAAATTCCTTACCTTTAGAGCAAAAATAAAAATAAACAAAGCAAAACCCTCCAGGCCCAACTAACCCACACGAGAACAAAACCAAATTTTCGTTTATCCGCCCTCCCACTTAACAACAGATTTACATTAAGCTAAAAGATTGCAATGACCAAAGTTGGAAGAACAGTAATGCAGAAAATAACAAAAATATACAATGTACTTGTATAAATAAGCGGTATATGAACTAGGGTATGGAATTGATTATTTCATTTCGAAATTTCCAGGCCCTTTTTATGTAACTTTTACAACATTTATCAAAAATATCTTCAATTTCTCTGCTATGGGAAAAATTTGAGCAGCCCAAAAGGTATTTAAGTTTTGTTATTACATTCATTTAAATAAGCATTATATAAAGCTTGGTTGCCAATTAAGTCCAAATGAACTTGTAATTTAGTATTTTCCTCCATACGTACATTATGTAATGCTGGGCAGTCAAAGAGAAAATGACGGATGTCTTCATCTGCATTTAAATTACAAATTAAACATTTCATATTGTTATTTTCATTCCAGTTAGACGTTCTGGCATTTAAATGGTTGGGTATTTGACCTGAGTTTAAACTTCAGTGCAACTCCCTCAAAATCCGTCTTATCAATTAAGTAGTGTTTTAAATTAGGACGCGGCTGTATAATTGCATAATCTTCAAGGGATGATTTATTTTGAACATCCAGTTTCCTAGACTTGCCACAAGTCTCTAATTATAGGTTTTCCTAGTATTAGCTAATTTTGGAGAGCGCCACCAGCGACGGTATATGTTGAGAAACTTTTATGCGAATTAGAGACTTGTAAAAGAGTGAGTCAAATCGATTGCAGACCGCTGGCCGTGACAAGCATGACGTAATTTTTAG